TCACGAAAAGAATATATGAAAATTTCTTAATAATCAACTGACTATAGTGAGTCCTATTTTTCTCATGACTGTGAGAATATAGAGTACAATAAAAAAACGTTGACTGATAATATGTTTTTTTTAGTACATTCCCTTCATGAGTCAAACTGGAGCCGAGAATCATGCTCTCAGTCTTATCTGGGCCAGGGAATTTGTCAAGCAGGCTCCCAGACGATGGGGAAATAAAATCCTTGCTGGGGTTGAGCCAGCCATTTGTTGTTTCTTGGTAATAAAATCAGTTCTGCACAGTTAAACAACAGGAAAGCATTCCCATTCAACAGCGATAATGTCGGAACATCATTCCTTAATTACTTTTGCAAATTTGAATGCTAATGGCGAGACTGAATTCGTGACCATCCATATACTTCGAAGCTGCTTAGCACCTATTCGAGGGACAAAGCTGGTTTAAAAACTTGCCTGTTAATTTGGAGTTTGTTCAGTGGGAAGAATCTGACACCATTATGATGATAATTAGACTGCAGTGACAAAGGTGCTGAAGATGGGAGTGGTGGCAGTCTTGGAGCGTTGATTGGAATAGGATGGTGATCATTATAGCAATGATTATAATTATTAGCAGGCTGACAGAAGGCTCCCTGTTTTTGTTTGACCTCATCTTATTGAGGTACCATGAAATGTTCTGGTAGAACTCAGGCAATATTTTCTCAAGGTTAAACACACAACGCTGCAGAGATGATGTTACAATGCCTTGCAAAAGTATTCACACCTCTTAAAATGTTACAACCACAAACTTCAATGTATTTTATTGGATTTATTTGCAATAGATTAATACAAAGGAGTAACATGGTTTACAACATTTTTTCCAAATAGAAATACAAGTATTTTTTGTATTTTGCTTTCATTGAGTCAATACCTTGAAGAACCACTGTTTCTGTCATTGCTGTTGCAAGTATTATGGGGTGTGTATCTACTAGCTTTGCCGATCTATAGACATATTTTTTATTCTTCCTTTTTGTAAAAAAACTTAAACTCAGTAAGATTGGATGGAGAGTGTCTGTGGATTTTCAAGTCTTGTATTAGAATGTCGATTTCATTTATTTATGCACTTTGATTAGATCATTCCAACACACTAGTAGGCTTTGACCTAATCCATTCCAGAGTAGCTCTGGTAGTATGTTTGGGTTGGTGTCCTGCTGGAAGGTGAGCCTCTGTCACACTCCCAAGTCTTTTGCAGATTCTTACAGCTTTTCTGTCAGGATTGCCCTGTATTTATCTCCATCCAACCTCCCATCAACTCTGACCAGTTTCCCAGCCCCTGTGGAAGAGAAACAACCCCACAGCATTGTGCTACCACCACCATGTTTCAAAGAGCAGATGTACTGTGTTAATTATTAGGCCACATATACTTGTAGCATTTTGCATGTAGCCCAAAAGTTCAGTTTTTGTCTCATCTGATCAGAGCACATTCTTCCACACGATTGCTATGTCTCCCAAAGGGGTAATGGCAAACAGTACTTTATTTGGCTTTCTTGCAACAATGACTTTCTTCTTGACATGAAAGTCAGATTTCAGGAGTGTGCAACTGATATCTGTCCTGTCAACAAATTATTTCATCAGCCTTTAAATTTAGGTTGGTGGTCATGACTTTGTCAGTTTGCAGTTGTGTTATACTTCTTCCATTTCCAGAATAAAAACCATGTATCATTTCCCTTCAAAAATACAATTATTTGCTACTTTTTATTGGTCCATTACATAAATCCCAATAAAATACGTAGGCGTCTGTTGCTGTAGCATTACAAAAATAGTGCAATGCACTATAGATTTTCAGATCATGCAAATGAGAATGGAATAATGAAGTAATTTCCTGCATCAGCTCCAAGGCTGTATTGCAAGAAGAAGAAAAAGAAGCAGTCTTGCATAAGTTGGCTTAACATTTTTGAAGAGTGTTTATCTCTCTGTGGATCACAGATTCTCATTCCACTCCATCTCTCTCCAGCCGGTTAAATTGACAAACCTGTCAGAGTTCTAAACAGAGACACAAGTTCACTGACTCCCAAGGTGCATGGAGAGGCCCAAAGATGTGGTGAGGTGCAGACTCGAGCAACACTTTTACTAGTGATGTTAATTGCTGTTATCTATAGTTCAAGCTTTATTATTTTGGAATTAATATTTTTTAAAGTTCCTTTGATTGGTATGTTTAATTTGAAGTTGTCTGCATTTTCCTGCGCTTCTTAGGAATGAACTAATTTAAGATGTCCAAGGTGATTTCCCCTTAAAAGCCCAGAACCTATTTAGGCTCTGATTCAACCAGTCAGCAAGCACCATCCCCTTGAATGCTGATTGGATAGCCTGTTAATTGTGAAGGTGTATATCCGTCCGTCCGTCCGTCCGTCCATCCATTTTCTATACCCGCTTCTTCCATACAGGGTCACGGGGGAGGTGGTGCCTATCTCCAGCAGTCTACGGGCGAGAGGCGTATTACACCCAGTTCAAGGCAAGTCACACAAGCCCCCCCCCCCAGGGTTCATGTTCATGTTTGGCCCTCTCTGAGGCTGAGGTATTTAAGCTCATGCTCATACTGCACAAGTTCAAGGAGAGGAAAAAGGGAAAGGAAATCTGAACATGACCCTATTAAAGGACACGCCTCAACTGGCCCTTTGTGTTGGCTTTGCTTGACAGACACCAGGTGCAGGATGAGAAAAAAAGGAGTTGGGAGGGGGGTGGGGGGTAGGAGCGTCATTGCATTATCAAGCCAAGAAAGATTCTGCACAAAAGGCTCAACGTGACATTGAACATTTTCATTTAAAAAAATATGTGTGAATTACTAACTAAGGAATGTTTTGTTTAATCTTTTAACAATAAACAGAAAAATGGAGGACAGCAGTTGACAGAGGACAGATCAACTCTAGGCCTTCCAAAAAACTAAGTTCTCCAAATCCTAGATGTTGTGGGATGCTTTACACCCAACTTCTTTAATACCCCAGCATCAGACATTTCTGGACATTAACCTTGATGTCCCAGTTCTCCAACCTCTACATCATATTTGGTTGAAGTATTATGGCTGATTGGTATGCGCAGTACTGGCCAGACGTTTACCTACATTCCTCATCGGCTTTAAGTTTTAAGTTTCACCTCTTGATGCATTTGAAATGTTCGTTTTCGGAGTGGGGTGATGTTAAAGTATACAACTTTAATATTTTTAAAACAGTAATACTCTGGTGCAGAAATGTAAAATTATTGTGTTTTTTCTAAATAACACATGGTCTAATTTATACATTGCTGTCGGGAAAAAAGGCCTTTTCTCCATTTTTAATCATTTTTCATGTGAAAACTCAGCCGTTCACATCTGTCTGTGGTTTCATTGATAAATATCCATTGAAAATGATCAAATAACAACATCAGACTTTGAGCATAAGCCATACATTTTAAAACAAAGATGCTTTTGAGGATTCTGAAGAGTTCCATCTTTGGAGATATAAGATTTTTATCCAACAGCAACAACATCCCTGGCATGAACTTCAGTCCTCCAGTTTTTAACAGGGTTAAGATTGGAACCTTTCCACAAGTTTTATGTTAGCTGGCTTTATTCCTTTATTCATTCATTTGTCTTCTTGGGACATTCAGTTGTGTTTCAACCATCTAGTTGTTGAATCTAGATGAAGTTGAAGAATCTGGAGACAGCCCGCCTTCTTCATTACTCTACTCACCTTGTGCAACCCACCAGACTGGCGGAGAAACAAACCCCTTTCTTGATGTTACCCACATGTTTGATGGTTGGGACATTGTTTTATGGTTTGAAAGTCTCACCTTGACTCCTCCTGGCATATTATATTCTTTGTGCCTAAATAGCTCATTCTTTGTTAAAGCTTTTTTAAAAAAAAAAAATGGTGGCAGCTGCAAATTTCATGCTTGAAGCTGGCTGTTTTGGAATGGATAAAGCAGGCTTACATAAGGCTTCTGGAATGATCCTGAGCTCAACCATATTGAAAATGAATGGACTACACATAAATGCCAATTCATTGCCAGAACACCAACCAGTGAGTTCCATCAATTTAAGCAACAATATACTTCAACTGTCAACTATACAGCAAGACATATTCCAGAAAGCTCGTCGACCAGCTACAGAAATGTCTTGGTCTCTTTTGTTAGTTTGCTAAGGGACAGTTTTGTAAATTTCAGTGGGGTTGAATGTATTAACCTGACCCCATATGGATAGGAAAAAAAATCCACAATCCATTCAATCTTGTACACCCAATTCCTGTTTTTAAAGGTCCTTACAATCTGAAAACAGAACAAAGAAAAGAACAAATAAAGTGTTAAAAGAACAAAATTAATATGTCAACGGAAACTGTGTCTTTAATTCAAAACTGTAGCCATATCATTCAGGTTCAATCTTCTTTCCACGCAGAGCAAAGTGTTGTCAGGAATGGTTGAGATAAGAAATTAGCAAGAAGCCTCCATTTTAGCTTTGGTTCCTAAAATCCATGGGAGAAAACACATAACAGTACTGCCTAGAAAGTCATTATTCCCTAAACCTGACCGAGTGGGCTTTGATAACTGTTCTGAGTGAAAGAAAATTCGATAGGAAGCAAATAGTGAAAAAAAGTCTTAATTTCAAGTACCATCACTAAATAATTGGACCTGTGCACCCAAACCAAGAAACACTGAGGATAATTAATATAATAACATTTATTGTACAACTAGTTTATGAATGTGCAGGAAAAATCCAATGATTGAAACAGTCAGTCAGTCATTTCTATACCGCTTCTTCCATAGTGGGTCGCGGGGGAGCTGGTGCCTATCTCCAGCAGTCTATGGGCAGGAGGCGGGGTACACCTTGGACAGGTTGCCAGTCCATCACAGGGCAACACACAAACAACCAAGCACACACTCATTCACACACCTAAGGGCAATTAACCTAACAGGTATGTCTTTGGACTGTGGGAGGAAGCCAGAGTACCCGGAAAGAACCCATGCATTCACAGAGAGAACATGCAAACTCCATGCAGAAAGAGCCCCGGCCAGGAGTCGAACCCAGGACCTTCCTACCGCAAGGCAACAGTGCTGCCAACTGCACCACCGTGCAACCCTATGATCGAAAAAAGCAAACCAGAAAATAATCTGAGAAAGAGAAGACTGATATTAACGTTCTTCTGAAGGAAAATTAGCGTTTGGTAAGTAATAGATTTGATCCCACTTCGGTCATGGGAGCTACCAAAGAGAGGCAGTTGATCCCAAGGTGGCTGAGGTAGAAGCCTGACAGGGAGCTGGAGGTAAGTAGTCTCTTTGACCCCAGTGTCTAGGCCTGCTGATCTACAGAGCGTGTGGACCAAGATGGGCAAGCTGGTGGAGTCATGGTGCCATAGACTAAGAAAAAACAGCAGTAATGGAGTCTTGTGGACAAAAGTAGGTTTACAGTAGTGGTTTGTTTCAGAATGAAGCTTATTAATTACAGTGGATGATCAAGTTAAGGTCCAGCTAGATGCATCAATAGCACAAGTAGACAGAAGGTAATGCATCAAAGCTAGAAACATGACACCAAAAGAGGACAATTAGTACAACCAAGTTGGGCAATCTGACATCTCAGAGCCCAGCTCTGCCCTTGTATAGAATCAGCTGTACATGAATGGGAAGGGGGATGAAGAAACAGAACAAACAGGAACAAAGAACCACCAAAGGATTACGGGTTAGAGAAATTCTAGTTTTCTTTGAAAAATCTGCACATTTATTTTTACTGACTGTTATTTACTGTATATTTTAACACATTCAAGGAAAAAAAACTATATTGGAAAATATGAAAGTAGATTCAGCTTTTGATTAATAAATACTAATTTTAATTAGATAAGATAAAACTTATTTTTTAAAATTTCAAAAATATAGAGCCATATTCAAAAAATTAGAATATTATTGAAAAGTTAATTTTTTCAGTTTCTCAATTCACTAAGTGAAACACATTATATGGATTATTTGCACACAGACTGATGTTTGCAAGCCTTTATTCTTGTAAATATGATGACTTTCCCCTTACAGCTACTGAAACCATGACAGTTAGGATTAGAATCAGTTCAATAAAAAACATGTTTAATACAGTAACGAGGCTTAATGAAAAATATGTTTAATACCTGCTTAAAGGTTGTTGTTTTGAAAAGGTACTTTTAATCTGACAGACGGGCCTCATTGGAACACATATTCTAATTTACTGAATATCACATCACAGATGTATATTACATGTTTAGAAATGTCTTGACTATGAAGAGAAACTTCAACACACTTTCTGATCCCTAGATCACTGATTATGAAGTGATTATCAGTATCATAAACAAAATTTAAAACGATACCAAAAAGCCAAACTCAACTGCAGACATTAAATATTTCTTTCTAAAAATACTTTTTTTAAAGAACAGGAATCATAGATTGTTGATCACATAAAGGCAATCTGTATATAAAATCAAATGTTACATTTACTTGACTGTTCAAACATTGCAAGCTATTTTGAATTGTGATTTTTTTATCTTGTATAAATAAGCTGTAACCCTGATTTGTACCTTAGTTCCTTATCTAAAAGTCAGTATTTCATCATAAACACACACAAATTAACTGAGAAAAACCCTCAGTTACAGGTCGTATGAACGAACACACACATACACACACACACACACACACACACACACACAAACATACGTAAACAAAAGTGAGAGACAGACTCTAATAGGAGATAATGGATTCTGGGTCAACACCTGGTAATCCTTACATCAAAGAAAGGGAGCACTTTGACATTTGCCAGAAAGTGCCGTACAACATGCCTGTAATAAGAAGGTCAACTAAATTTCACTAAATTTCAGGGCACTCTGGAACAAAGGAGGCCCACAAGCACAATATGTCAGACCTTTAGATTTAAAATTAAAAAATGAACCTACTACCTCATAACTCCTGAAGGCAAATTTTAAAGGAAGGAGTAAGTTGTGAAATCAACATGTGAGCTCTCATATGTGAGAGATTTTGATTTAATAACTGGGTTGGTGATTTGAACTTCATTTTGGCAAAGCCAGGAATAAAGTTCAGCCTCAGCTGCATTTATAGGGTTGGTTTTGGTTCCCTGTGAGTGACCACAGTTGTTAAATAAAATGACACGTGTACTCACTACTTTACATGAATCCAACATTCATAGACATGTGAAGGATACACTTAAGTGGATCTGAAAGATGTTCATTCAGGGAAGTCTGCTTGCTGTCCAGTCACAGCAGATTTTTGGATTAATATTTTGGCAAATTAAAACTCCAAGGGTAATTCAGGGGCCAAAGTTGGAGAAAAAAGCTTCAGAGGGCAGAGAGTTTGTGGTCCTAGCCAGTGTGTGGGGATATTTTTAGTCCTCGTCTCCTTCTGATTGGCTGTGAAGCAGGAATGGAGACAAAGTGAAAGTCCAGTTCAGAGGTTTTGATTTTGGCCTCTACGTCTGGCAACACAATAACGCCCCCTGCTGCATAACCAAACTCACCCCTCTCACCCCCAGCTAACACAAGTACACACCCACCCTGCTGCCCCTGCCCCCAAACCTCTGCCAGTGAGAACTTGCCCCTCTTGGTGTTGTGACCTTACGACTGCAGCTGCCTTTCATGTGGACCCATCACAATATTGAACTCCTCAGCCCTTTGACTCCTCCTCACCACACAGACTTTCAGAAAAAAGGAAAAAAAACAAAAAAGTCTGCATTCCTCAAGGTTTGTCTCTGAAATCTTCCGAACCACATCTGGTTTTGCTTTGCCGAAATCCCCCCCCCCCCTTTCCCTACATTGGAGGGGGTCTTAAAAGTACAGCTTTGAGTAATAAATGCAGGGTTTTGCTGCTTATTTGTACATTGTACAATGAAATTACATGGCCTGTAATTGGTTACTTCCATAATTGCATTGAAAGTAATTCACATTGTGCCTTGGGGACACCAGACGAGATAAACTGAAATGATGACAGCAGAAAAGTAAGTAGACATTTATTGGATCTTCTCTGCGGATCCTGTCATTTCAGCTCCAGGAACATTGGTGCGAGAGAGCTCTTCTGGAATTGGTTTGGGCGGTGGCAATGCTGGAGTGAGCATGTAGTGTGTGTGTTTGTATGTGTGTGTCTGTGTGACACAGAGTCGTACTATTATTAGAGAGCCACTGGAGGGCAGTGAAAGAACTGCATGTGGCAGAGAGGATCTTCACAAGTATATGCATGTAAGCCTGGTAAACAATCAGCAGAGTGTGAAAGAGAGGTCATGCATCATTGGCCTAGAAACACAAACACGGACCTCTGCCTTGTGTGTCTCCCCTTGAGTTCTCCTTCTCCTTGCTTTGCCGTGTGCAAATGTACGGGGGTATAAATATTGTGATCGACACATTTGGAATTGGCTCAGAGCTTCTGTTCGTCCTGTAACACGGCAGGTAGAGGCTCACAACAGCAGATGCAGCGCTGGGTGCTACACAGCCCCGGAAGGGAGAATATAATAACGATATAACAATATAGCAGGACCGGTGCAATTATACCAGCTTGTTGCTGCTGTTTCTCTGGGGAACACTTCTGTTTGCAAATTAACTGAGACAAATGTAGAAGGGAATAATCCTGCTGCAATAATAGCAACATAATAGAGCCATGCAAGCTAAACAGATGTACAGTATGTCCAGGGCCTAGCAAAAATATTATACACCCCTTACAGACTTTTTCTCATTTTGTCACATTAACAGCCACAAACTTTAGATGATTTTATTGGGATTTCATATGTATATATATATATATATATATATACTACTCAAAAAATAAAGGGACCACTCAAATAACACATCCTAGATCTGAATGAATAAAATATTCTCATTGAATACTTTGTTCTGTACAAAGTTGAATGTGCTGACAACAAAATCACACA